GTCCCACCTACCTACCAAATTTGGTGTTTCTAGGTGCCATAGGAGCCAATCGCGAGGGGGGTCGCATCGACCCCCCCCCCCCCTTGCCAGGCAGTGTTATGAAAAATGCCCTGCCAGGGCGAGGGTCAATAGAAACATCTTGATCACTCCTGATAAAAGCCCCCTCCCTAATCAGGGGAAAATAGCTCGGAAATGGTCCATTTCCTTTGACCTTTACGACCAATGAGAGTAAAACCAGTAACGAATCACTGCATTTTACAAGGACACTGCCACTACGTGTCACAAAGCGATAAACACAGATCACTGCATTCTGCCGAACAAGTTCAGCGACATTTGAATAGCTGGGTGTGTCTGCCTAGTGCTTTCCATTGAAAATATCTTATTTCAAACCAGGAACTTAACATGAGAACATCAATTCAGTGACAAAACCGACCCAGACAAGCACCCATGAGTGACTTTTGCTTTGTTCTTCTTCTAATGACACGGTCAGCACCTGCTGGAGTGCAGAGTGGTCTATAAAACACGACCGGCTATCTCCTAAATCATCGCCGGGGGTACAGACGTTCACAGAACGACTGCGTCGGGGTACCGAACTGCGCCACAGCGGAAACAACGACCGAGAGACCTCTGGAGTCACTGCATGAGCTAGGCTAGCCTCCATTTATTAAACGAGTTCACTCTATCCGGATCACAAGCAATGAAATAAAATGTTGTTTATCTGGTCGCTTATAGTGTTCGTGCTTAGCATGTTCAAAACATCTGGAGCACAGCTATCCGTTCCAACAAGTTATGGTTATTTCGTGAGGAGTGGGATCAGATAAGGTGGCATAGGTGTAAGATCTGAGACTGGAGAGATATGTGACGGTCCCGGGGGTCCCGAAAGGTCACCAAATGGCTCATGCAGTCAGGTCTGCAAGGACGTGCACATATTCATGTCAAAGACGGCAAAGATATTGCATACATCTTCACAAGGTCATTCATATTCCATAGAACAATATCTAGTCGAACTGCAAAGTTATCGGCACTATTTCGGAAAGAAATATGTTCGATTTTCTCATTAGTTACCGAGTAATTAGATCTATGAATTCGCATGATAGCACGCTCGCATGTTCTACGGTGTTAATTCATCCATGAAATTGGTCATGGCGTATAATCGAGCTATCCTTCACTCACCCGATTGAACAAAACAACTTCAATCGATGCCGCTAGGCACGTGAGTCTTCTGCTAAACGTTCAGCGATTCGGAGAATTGTCAGGTGCCCCTCCCCATCCCTGCCCCCCCCCCCCCCCTCACCCCAGGTAGACTGTGAGGAGGCGAATGACCAGCACGTGGCTAGGGCGTGGTTCTTCTCGGACGATCGCCCCCAGCTTCTTGTGCTCTGGGGTGGAGAGGCTCTGCAAGGGCGGTATAATAACAAGGAGATACGGATCAGTGGCGTAGAAACGCGGCCGGTGGCTGGATTCGAGTGACTTCTACGCGGTCACGCGTAGAGAAGCATGTGAGGCGGAAAGTCACGTGGCACGGAAAAGGATGCATCAAGAGACAAACAGAGACAGGTCTGAAGGTTTGTTCGGTTTGTTCCGGATAAACAAACATGCCTTGTTACGCGTGAGCAGCATAAGGCATCAGGTGAAATGGTACACCTGTGTACAGATTACGTTATGGCAGAAGGAATTCGATAAATAGGCGGTGTTGTTGTGTATTGTGTATGGAGGCTGCTATGTAGATACCCAGTGTTGTGATCATATCGGTGCATCCTCCCTGTTCCCGCATAGATTACTTCAGCATATACCGACATGAGGAAGATCTTGAACCCTTCTGCTACAAAAGAAGCGGAGATATTTTGATCTTTCAATAACATGCTCACAGGATATCGCTACTCTAATCCTTTGTTGTTTGCTTCTTTGTTTCCAAATATGAGAAAATATGAGATAAGCTGCTAATAGTTGGTCTAACTTGCCGCTATTGACAAGCGCTGACGAGCTCAGGTTTAGACGCAGTGAATATGGTAATAATCGGATTTTTAGCTACTTGTCCGCAAAAGCAAAGCAGGCAGTTTTATGCGATAACAGCTTCTGAAGGATACAGTTTGCACACATCTTCCATCTTTTCACGTCGGTATCTAACTACGCACATTGACAACAAAGCCCCGAGTTTGGGAAGGGGTGAAAAGTTGGGGCGTCATTCCTGCAGCCATCTGCAGTTGACATTGTCCAACCAGCCATAATCGGACAGTACAATATGCTAGTCATGAGCATCGCTCTCCCATGAATTCACGGATAACTGGCTCGCTGGACAGCCTACAAGATGTGTGGCCTTGTGTTTTGACGCTGGCTGAGCGGTGCAGTTGGTGACAAGGCCAACGTTTGAGTATGAACAGGTGAAAAAATGTCCTTACGTTCACTTCTGTAAATAAAAACGTTGCAATGTTCTTTGGTGAGAAAACAAAACTCATCTTTTAAAAAAGGAATGCTAATTATTTCACTGCATCATGTCTTTTTATATATCATCTACCAAATGAACTTGCTTTATCTATTCCAGCTTGCCAGTTTTTACATTATCATGCGACTGAATACTCGTAGAGTGGCTCGTGACCAGAATTAGTGTCTTCAGTCAACCATCATGTCATTATGTAACTTCATAAAAACTGGAAAGGTCAAGCAACTTTTTAGCTAAGCTTGATTGATAACTTGGTAAGTTCCGTCTAATGTTGAAAGTTTTGACATTTTCTACGGAATCGAAATTCAAACGTCAAGCATATAATATACTAACAAGGAACAAAAATGATAGACGAACACGTTTCGGCTAAATCGCCGTCATCAGCGTCTAAAAGGAGAAAAGGGCCACGAAAAGGACATCAGCGTCTTTTAGACGCTGATGACGGCGATTTAGCCGAAACGTGTTCGTACATCATTTTTGTTCCGTGTTATTATACTTGTCTCAACTGAAATACATATAATATACGCACATACCACGCCCTTTTAACGATATTACCAAGCTTATGATGTAAGAACTCAGAAGATCAGGGACTTAACAACGTGTTTCATCTAATCTCATAACACCCCACATGCGATGCCGTCCTTTCGATAATGAGGGGCTTGTCCTGACCACGAGAAGTCACAACAGAGGCATAAATGTTTGTAAATGCAAGGTCATCCGATAAGATGTTTTACGATAAGACAGTTCACTGCACGTCTGCAAGCCATGGTGTAATCTTATGCAGATGAGACTGTTGGACTCACAAAGAGGAATCAACACTAGTTTGTGTTGTGATCATCATCCGCCAATTTTCGATGCGGAAGACATTCAGATAGGATTTCAGACGGATAGTTTTTAGGTTTTAGGCTGGCTGCATTTTAGTTGTTTGTTTTTCGATTCTTCGGTTTGTAAAATATGGATGTTGTGTTGCAAAATACAAGAGAAATTACGGTGATAAAGAGACGACGATTTACATATGCGAGGTCACTTGCTGTAAGCTTTACAATTGTGCAGGGATGGATTGCTTTGACAACGTTGGCCTTGTCACTGTGCATGGATTGCTAGCCAGTCTCGAAGCAGTTTCATCACATAGCAGCTTGAACGGAACTTAGCTACAGTGCCGGTGAAATGAATTCAGACCACCAAACGTACCATTTATCGTATTTATCCTTCTGTGTCATTCTCCAAACCTCATGGCAGGCAATTACAGTGTATAATAGTAATCGGTCTCCAAAACTGTGAGAGTATCTGTCTCGCCTATGATTAATGCATGCATGGATGATCCGACGATTCCGGGAGAGCCTTGAGTATGTTTTAGATGCATTTTGCTGAACAGTTTAAAGGTAGTGTGCCACCTTTGAAAGATTTCCCATTTTATTTTTCCTAGGATAAGAAGCTTCTGTTTTTACATAATATCGCAAAAAAAATCAAAAATGGGCCTGGAATAGTGCCTTTTTCGCCTAAAAGTTTTTCGGTTTTTAGATATGTATAACAACTGTAGTGGGCTCACCTGCAAACAGGCGTCGGGCAACAATCGCGAATGCGGCGCACTTGTGACAATAAGCAAAGGTCATTATAGTGTTACGACCATACGACGTACGGGAATGAGTTATCAGCTGTCTAATCGTAGACAACACAATGTCGAGCCTTAAACTGTAAGCCCGTATTGGTATTGTTTCTTTTATTTGGCTGTCGAACATTATTTATGGTTTGAAATATGATTTTATGTAAAATAATTGATATGAAAAAGCCGTCTTATAAGTTATGACCCCATTTCACCACACGCAAGTGGCAGAAATGACAATGATCAGCTGACGCATTTTTCTTGGCCGAAGTCAGAGCGCGCGGCCCGACGCACCACGCGTATTTGGAAATTCCGACCTCGACGAGCATCAGAAGCCACCTAACAGGCGTGTTCGAAACCGCAGGAGATGATGATGAACGGGTTTATCGAAACTTGATTGGATGAGCATATCGGTAATAGCGATTTCAGTGTGTGCATTTATTGTTCATAGTGGTGTGAAATGTGGTTGGGGTACGACCGACAACCCGTCGGGGCGAATTTCGCACTGGGGTACTCAAAATTTGAAGAATTTAAGACGTTTCCATGAATTTTGAAGGTATGGATAAGTTCTAAAAATCCGGTTCTCCTTATCTGGGCCATTAACTCCATACGGTCCAAGAAAGCTGGCACACTACCTTTAAACTAGCTAGCAATATTTATCAACAACAACGTTTAACAGTTTCATTATGCAGCAGATAGCTGCTTCAACTGATATCAGTGTAATTTTTACATCATTTAAATCCTTTTTAAATAAAGAGCTTCTTAAACATTTTTTTACATGACTATTTTTAATGTTTCCTTGTTTATAAATTCCAATAAAAAGCAACTGTCCGCATCCCTCCGTCCTTGAATGCGTTCATGTTTTAGTCATTATTCTACCAGCGCAGCCAGAACCGGTACCCCAGTCCACCTCTCGTCGCCTTGCAGTCTCTCAGGGAGCCTCGCCACGCCACTTACCGGACGCAATGTCGACGGCATCTCGCTAAGTTCAAGATCAAGGCTGCCCGGTGCGGCCGACCTTCGCGTCTTATCACGTTCACTGGGACACCACGGCTGGCTTTACAAGCTTGACTAGCCTTCTTTCTTGCACAGGTTTTAGTCTCTTTTCGCCTGTCCAGACTCGTGATATGCACACAATGTGCGTGCTCTTGTCGCTGATATTGCCTAAGTAGCTGTCTCCGCTGCTGTCTTGGTTATTGTCTCCGTTGTTGTCTCAGTTATTTCCTCCAAAGTTATCTCAGTCTGTGTCTCCACTATTGTCTCGGCTCTTGTCTCCCCGTCTCCGCCGCCTCGTCCGCCCCCGCTGTCACCGCCAGCACTGATGCAGTACTGAGGAGCGTCTCAGCGGACCGACAGAGACCAGCCAGCCACCCCCACCACACCCTCCCGAGTCACGTGACCGGGACACGCTCTGACGCTGCTCGGTCCGGACGGTCACGTGACCGGCCTGGTGAGACGGCGCCCAGTGGGGAGGGGAGGGGATGGGTTGTGGTGACTCTAGAAGGGTGATTCGTGTGGTGGTTTGACCTAGCGAGGACAAAGAGGGGTCTATGAGTAGGCATGGGTTTAAAGGATAATCAGAGATTTGTCATAGGTGGGTCGTTGACCCGTGTGTATGACCTGGCCTCTGAAGGCGTATTTTCCCAACTGGATTGAGAGGCAATGAAAGAGATTATGATAGGTTATCTGCTTACTAGAAGTGACGTGGTGTAATATCCTCGTTTGCCAGAAATTCCATGCGTGTGTTATGCTCGGCATCCGTGCATAGGTGAAACTAGGGTTACCCGCGTGCTCCGCAACGCGAAGGGGGGATTTTTTGACCCGTGGGTATTGGGTTGGTCTGTGTCGATTTGGTTGGTAGATATCCATTTCGTTCGATTGCTTTTTGACGGCCAAGCATTTTGTAAGAAAACAAAAAGATACATCGTATCGAGGTGCCCGTGTCGTATTATCATGCGTTCTACTTTAGAATGATTCGAAAACTGGCGTGAAGTCTTTTGAGGGCCATCGATGAATTTCGCTAAAAATGACAATGTAATGGTTTGGAACATTTACATTTTTAAGAATACTGTTGCCCGTCATGCAAAAATAAAGAGTGAATATTGGACAGAATTGAATGCTCTTTCCAACGGTGCCATTTTTAATTGCCAGAGATATCAGATCATGGAGCAAAACCCGTGTGATTAATAAAGTGGCACATCATCGACAAACACCATTTTCTCCAGCGATTTATACCACCTTGTCGTCGATTAATTAGCTATTCACAATTTTCCCATGAGAGGCGGTACATTTCTCTTGTCAACAGGCGTTGTTTCAACTCGCTCCGTTTAACGGTCACCTAAAAATAAAATTAATTCCAAAATCCCTCAAAAACCGCAATTTTTTAAATAAAAGTGCCCTCTCCGGGCACGTGGCGCGTATCCTCTGCATTGCACACCATTCAATTGCCCATTCAATTATCTACACGATGCTGTTTTCCCCGTGCCGGTCGGACCCCTGGTCACCAAGATATTGCGCCGGAACCGGACCAGTGTCGGCCAAACTTAGCCGTTTTCGCCCGATTTCGCACGCCGATTTATACATGTAAAGTCTATGACGCGAATTTGCACTTTTTGGGCACGCACCACGCGCTCCCTATCGACCCGATCGAGCTGAGACCCCTCAAAGGCACGTCGCACATCCTTGATCTATGAGTTGTGCAAATTTCATCGGGCTAGGTGCAACGGTCTGGCCTGTAGTCCACGCAAAGCACGACCAAGTCGGGACCTCGGTAACGGACAGACGCACCCTCCTCAAATAGTAATATAGATGTACTTACAATGTACAGCCCTCAGCAGACTGCGTGGTAGGTATTCTTTTTTCGACAAAACCGATAATAGCTCAAAGGCTATGTTATCAGTCGGTCGGAACTCACTGCAAATAGATGCACCATGCTCCACTCCTTCGAATGGGTCTATCACTAAACAAAGTATACCTACGCCTTGTGTGGCAGCGAAATGCAAACGTTTGTTTTTTGGGCAAATATAAACTTTTGGGTTTTGTTGCTAAACCGAAGTGGAAAATGAACACGATGATAATGCCAAGGTGCGGAGCCTCGCGCGTCTTGCTGTTACGATTTGTGAGTGACCGATAGCATATTATTTGCGTGGTTCTCGGTTTTGTCGAAAAAAATGCCTACCACGCAGTTTGCACAGGGCTGTACATATAGGTAATTTAAGTGGTCTCTTGGGGTAAACCGTTATCGGTTATTTCGTCAAGATTGTTCGTTTTAACTGACATCATTTTAATTTACCATGTGTGAGACTAATTCAAACGTGATACTGGAATGAATTTGTTTGGATTCTGTCGAAACTGGGACATTCGTTAACCCGCGCCCCGCTGGGGGGGGGGGGGGCAGAATCTGCCCCCCCCTCCCGTTTTTCGCCAATAACTTCTAAACGCGTTACGCCAGCGACGTCAAACTTTGAGTACCTTATCATACATCAATGTGACACGTTCCCTGAAAATTTGAGCGAAATCCGTCGGAAAATTTTTGAGAAATTGACGTTTTAGTGACGTCATGTTCGCCATTTTCGCCTCAAAAACGGCAAAATTTCAAACGCCGCTAACTTCTTCATTTTTAAAGGAATCAAGACGTAACAAAAACGGTTACACGTGATTCTACTTTGTCTATCAAATGGCTATCTCGGTTTTTTGAAAATTTTGGATTTTGGCCAATTTTTTTCCAAAAAAACTGACTTTTTTGGGAAAATATTTATAAAATCCAAAATTTTGAGTTTATCAAAAAAACCGGAATATATGTCAAAGAAATGGTCTATGTGCACCTACATACCAATTTTGAGAAGAATCGGTTCAAAAATGTGGGAGTTATTCAAAATTTTATGACGTCACGACACACAATTTTTTTGAAAAATGAATTTTTGGAAGTTCTAGACCTCGTACGGAAACAAAAATAGCACCATTCGATTCGCCGTGAAAAACTGCATCGGATAGACACCTTTTTAGGCCTTAACAACCAACTTCAAAATTTGACCTCACTTGACCTGACCTTGACCTGACCTCGACCTGAAATTCATCCAGAGGTGGTCCATATCACTTATTGAGTGTGCCTATTGAATTCCATGAGTAAAATGACCCATAAAACATGTGTCGCACATGCCCTTTTATATATTTTGTTTTTGGTGATCTGATCTGATCTGACCTGACCTTACCTTGACCTTGACCTTTGAATGACATTGTGTGCAACGAATATTGTCTTGGTAGTCTAAGAACACGTTTTGGGCAATCAGTCTCAGTCCATTCTTCGGCAACTACGGTGCAAGGCCGATACTGTAGAAACTTGCATTTTGTACCCTTGACCTGACCTTGACCTGACCTCTGACCTACTTAAGCAAAAAAAATTGGGCTCTTAAGATTCGTCTTGTTGAGAGCTTTCGATTGCCGTTTTCCCCGTCTTTCTACGACCATCGGTTCGGAAGTTAGACAGGGGGGGGGCAGAATCTGCCCCCCCCCCCCCCCCCAGCAGGGCGCGTATGGCTGAATAGCCCAGCGGGGCGCGGGTTAGGCACGGTGGCCATTGAGCCGTGCCTATTATAAAAGCACTGATCTGATATACTTTCTGGTAACTGTTCTGATTGGCAGCCTTCAAAGTATATTTGTTTCATGATCATCGACTAGACTCCATCGTCATAAGCTCTTTAATTAATCATAAAATCAACTGAGTCTCGAATGTGTCCCAAGGCTAATCTGACCTATATCTATCGCAAAATGTCAGGAACTGAGCCTTCTATCACGATCCCAGCCATTTTCCCATACCTGCTACATTGCATGATTAAATCGAGACATCCAGGCATTTTAATGGCACGTGCACTGTACCACACTTTTCAAAGTTTAATGCAGTGCTTTAATATTGCCAGCCGTGTGGTTCAAGGGGTGTGGTTAAACGCGTTGAACCACACGGCTGCTGACGTCACTATCAATTAGAGTTGTGAGCTTTTTGGCAGGTATGGGAAACACCTTCCAGCCCTAAGGCCGGGAATTCAATAAATGTCACCTCGCTTTTTTAGCGAAAAGCACCTCGGGCCTAACGGCCCTCGGAGTTTTCGCTAAAAAATCTCGGTGACATTTATTGAATCATCCCGGCCCCGGGCAGGAATATATTAACCCGCGCCCCGCTGGGCTATTCAGCCATACGTGCCCTGCTGGGGGGGGGGGCAGATTCTGCCCCCCCCCCTGTCTAACTTCCGATCCGATGGTCGTAGAAAGACGGAGAAAATGGCAATCGAAAACTCTCAACAAGGCGGATCTTATGAGCCCAATTTTTTTTTTTTTTGCTTAAGTAGGTCAGAGGTCAGGTCAAGGTCAGGTCAAGGGTGCAAAATGCAAGTTTCTACAGTATCGGCCTTGCACCGTAGTTGTCGAAGAATGGACTGAGACTGATTGCCCAAAACGTGTTCTTAGGCTACCAAGACAATATTCGATGCATACAATATCATTCAAAGGTCAAGGTTAAGGTCAGGTCAGGTCAGGTCAGGTCACCAAAAACAAAGTATAGAAAAGGGCATGTGCGACACATGTTTTATGGGTCATTTTATTCATAGAATTCAATAGGCACACTCAATAAGTTATATTGATCACCTCTGGATGAATTTCAGGTCGAGGTCAGGTCAAGGTCAGGTCAAGTGAGGTCAAATTTTGAAGTTGGTTGTTAAGGCCTAAAGAGGTGTCTGTCTGATGCAGTTTGTGACGGCGAATCGAATCGTGCTATTTTTGTTTCCGTACGAGGTCTAGAACTTCCAAAAAAAAAAACTTGCGGCATTACGTTTCATAAAATTTTGAATAACTCCCACATTTTAAACTGATTCTTCTAAAAATTGGTATGTAGGTGCACATAGACCACTTCTCTGACATATATTCCGGCTTTTTCGATACATTCAAAATTTTTGATTGTATAACTATTTTCCAAAAAAAATCAGTTTTTTGAAGAAAAAATTGGGTCAAAATCCAAAAATTTTCAAAAAACTGAGATGGCCATTTGATAGACATAGTAGAATCACGTATAACCTGTTTGTTACGTTTTCATTCCTTAAAAATGAATATGTTAGCGGCGTATGAAATTTTGCCGTTTTTTAGGCGAAAATGGTGAACATGACGTTACTAAAACGTCATATTCTCAAAAAAAAATGCCGACAGATTTCGCTCAAATTTTCAGGGAGCGTGTCAAATTGATATATGATAAAATACTGTAAGTTTGACGTCGCTGGCGTAACGCGTTTAGAAGTTATTGGGGAAAAACGGGAGGGAGCCCGGGGCAGATTCTGCCCCCCCCCCCCCCCAGCGGGGC